CTATTCGATTCCTAGACGGCTGCTGCTAATAGTAGTGGTCGTTCTGTAGGCGTGGCCGTTCTGTAGGGGTGGTTGTTCTGTAGGGGTGGCCGTTCTGCAGGGGTGGCCGTTCTGTAGGGGTGGTCGTTCTGTAGGGGTGGTCGTTCTCCGCGCTGTCAGCTCCTCGTCAAGAATCGCTAGTTTGGTCCCGCACACTCCTTGCTTTGACGGAGAGTCTGGTGTTGACTGGTTCCATCCCGTATTGGCTGTGGAGTTCTGCTTTTTGACGGCGGGTTGTCACCTTTCTCGTTTTCCCTTTTGTTATTGTTCGTGGTTGTTCCATTTTTTGTTTTGTTTTGTTTTTTTTGTGTGTGTGAATTGTTGCATCTTTGGTTGTCTGTGATGGATAGTAATAGACACTCTTCCGTGTTGATACTGTGGTAGGGGAAAAAACACAAAGCGAAGACTAGATTTAGTTTTTGCATTGTGTGGTTTTTTTCCACCATCTTTGGTTGTGTGCTTGTTTTGGATGATGGTATGCAAAGGGGGGGGGGAAGGGGGGGTAGTTGGGTATTCCATGATGAGGCTGAATTGAGTGTTAGTAGAAGTGTAGTTTTTTTTTTTTTCTTTTTTTTCTTTTTTTCTTTCTTTCTTTTATCGTTTTCGTTCTGCTTACTGGGATATTTGGCTATTGGTACATTTTTTTTCGTGGGTGTAGATACTCCATGCCAAGTATTGTTACTTTGTCGACCAAGAGAGAATACAGAATAAAAACAATGACGTCCCTCAGTTTGGTTGTTGAGAGAGAGAGAGAGAGAGAGAGAGAGAGAGAGAAGAGGGAAACAGTGAGAGAGAAAGAGAGAGAGTTGGAATTCATTTATTTTTTGTTTTTGATTTTCCGTTTATTTTCGAATTCGCCAGATGTTAAGTAGATGCCCAGGAGGAGAGGGGTGTGGAGGGGGTCCGGGGATGGAGGGGGGGGGGTGAAATGGGTATGTGAAGTGGGACGAGGAATTGGGGGGGGGGGTAGGTAGGAAGGCTTCCTCCTAGTTTTCCTTTTTCCGTTTTTCTCTCTCTCTCTCTCTTTCTCTTTCTCTTTCTTTTTCTCTCCCTCGCTCCCTTTCTCCTGTTTTCTCTCTCTTCCTATCCTCTCTTTTCTCCCCCTCTCTTCTTCCCTCCCTCTCTATCTTTCCCTCTTTCCCCCTCTCCCTCTTTAAGCCCCCCCCCCCCCCCTCTCTTCGACCCATAATGGGACCGAAGGAAAACGTTATTAATCGATAACGTTCTCATTATCGATTTTCGTCCGTAGGCCGTTCACCCTCCCGCTCCCCCCCCCCCTCCCTCTCTCCCTCCCCTCCGACCGCTGGATTTTGGGCCTAGGAGGATCGGCGGCCGTGTGTTAACGATATTGGGGGAGGGGGGAGGGGGACGCTTTCCGTCTGGCCTTTCCTTGTTATAATCTTGTTCCTTTGTCGTTAGTTTTTTTTTTTCCTGTTTGTTTTTCTTTGTCTCTTTGTTTCTCTCTCTCTCTCTATTCTTTTTTCTCTTATTTATTTCTTCTCTTCTCTCTTTCTTATGTCTCTCCCTCCCTCCCCTCTTCCTCTCTCTCTCTCTCCTCTCTCGTCTCTCTCTCTCTATCTCTCTCTCTCTCTCTTCTCTCTCTCTCTCTCCTCTCTCTCTCTCTCTATCTCCCTCTCTCCCTCCCTCCCTCCCTTCTCTCTCCTCTCTCTTCTCCTCTCTCACTCTCTCCTCTCTCTCTTCTCTCTCCTCTCTCTCTCTCTCCCCCCCCCTCCCTCATTCTCTCATCTCCTCTTCTCTCACTCTCCCTCCCCTCTTCTCTCTCTCTATATCTTCTCTCCCCCTCCCCCCCCCCTTTCTCTCCCTCCCCCCCTTTTCTCCGAAGTCCTCTTGCTCCCATTCTTTTCCTTCAGTCGCTTGTTCTTGTTTCAGAGGAGGTTGCTTTTTGTTTGTTTTGTGATTGTTTTTGTTTGTTTGTTAATGTTTTAGAGCCTCCGTGTGTCTTTGTGATGTTGCTTGATTTGATTTTATTCGGTTCATTTAGTTTTTTGTTGTTGTGGTCGGTGTCGCTGTTGTTGTTTGTTTGTTTGTTTGTTTTTTGTTTCTGCATTTGTTTTTTGTTTGTTTGTTTTTTTTTGTTTTGTTTTGTTTTTTGGGGGGTCTTTCGTGTTCCCTCCGACTGACTTTTAAGAGCGAGGAATTCGTGACCCCCCCTCCCCCCCTCCCCCCCAACCCCCACCGTAATCTGGACTTTATTTCGGTTTTGTGATTGTTTCTCTTACTCTCTTTTTGCTTCCCTTTCCTTCGCCTTCCTTTCCCCTCCCTTTCCTTTCTCACCCCCCCCCCTCTTCCTCTTCTCTCCTCTCCTCTCCTCTCCTCCATCCCTCTTCCCTCCCTTTCCTTTCTTTCCCCTCCCCCTTTCCTCTCTCGTTCCCTCTCTCTCTCCCTCTCCCATTTCTCCTCCTCTCCACCTTCTCCCCCCCCCCCTTCCCTCCTTCTCCCC